ATATTTCAGTTGTTACTTTTGTCTGTGCCCATAGATATACCTGGAGCCTCCCACTGCCCTGTAATATGTAGTGTTGTGCAACTTGTACAAATGAAGCTTCTTCAGAATGAAGCTAATTAGTGCACTGCTCTTGGACACCTGACTTTCTATACTAATTTCCAGGCTTGTGATTTGTCAAAGTTAAATAAAAGCTTAAAATACCAAACAACAAAGCTAGACATTAAGGAATGAAACCAAGTAATGCATTTCTCTTGCATCATAAAGATCTCAACCCTTCTGCAAGAATTCAAAGAGGCTATTGGTATATTTTCTTTTCTTTCTTTTTCTCTTTTTTTAAACAGTTGTACTGTTCCTGGATTCTTTTGTGTTGGCTTATACATTTATTAACTGTGTTCTAAACACGACTATAAAAGGTCCCAAAGCATTTTCTAGCATTGTTTTTCTATTACTAGTATTAGCGGTGGTTTAACTGGAAAAGGTGGGTTTGTTACAATCGGTTTCCAAGTCCTTTATGTCTTCATCTCATGGTAAACTTTACATGAAATTTAAATGGATGCTTTAAAGTAGTGCCTTTACAATTTTACAATTATGGGTTGATCCTGAGCCCCTTCACCTCTCACTGACCTTAGGTTTGGTCTCTCAGTTTCTGAAATTAAGCTATTTTAATGGGAAGTTTTAGTTATCAGAGCAAAAAGAGAGAGATCATCACTTCAAGATCGTAAAGTACCATCAAGCTTATAATGAAATCTTGAAAAATCCCAACACGAGTGCTGTTCTGACCTATATCATAGTTGAATAGATTTTGCCAAGAGCAGTGATGCCTGACTCATAGAATTACAGAATCATAGAAAATGAGGGCTGGAAGGGACGTCAGGAGGTCATCTAGTCCAACCCCCTGCTCAACGCAGGACCAGCCCCAATTAAATCATCCCAGCCAAAGTTTTTTGTCTAGCCAGGTTTTAAAAACCTCTGTCTAGTATTGCTTTTAAAAGAAGAGAAATCCAAAGAAACAAGAAGCACTTTAAACTCAGCTTAGGTCTGATCATTTGAGTTTATAAAATGTATTTTCTTTTACAGATACCTGCATCCTGAGGGGCTTCCTTCAGACTATACTATTACTTTTCTATTCCGAGTACTCCCTGACACACCCCAGGAACCATTTGCTCTTTGGGAGATTTTAAATGAAGAATATGAGCCACTGGTGGGAGTTATTTTAGACAGTATGTATTTTGTATGTTCTAGCACGAATCTCCTAGGGTTTGTGATTAACCAGGATCCCTGATGATTAAGCAATGCAGGAACTAGGTTTCGATAGTAAAGTTTTTAATATATTATTAAAATAATTATCAAAGTTATTTGAAACTCTGGGTCTCTAATGCATCATTCTCCAGATTGACCCCAGGTAAGTTTACTTTGTGCTTCTGGGTCAAATTTGGATGTCAGTGGGGGTGTTTACATGTTCATTAATGCACAGTAGTTACTGCACATTTAGTTTAGCACTTGTTTAGTGAAGTACTAACTAAATGTGCAGTAACTACAGTTACTGCGCAGTAGTGCTTCTGCACAGTTTTTTATTAATGTTTAATGTGCAGTAGCCTAACATTACTGTGCAGTAGCATATCCCTTGAAGTTTACTGTCAAAAAGAGCCAAGTGATGTTTAGTTAGGGGGGTGTGTGTGTGGGTGTTGGTACAGCTCAGAGCCATGCTAATTAAAAGCACCCGGAACATCACTTGTATCAGCATCTCCACACTGAAAAATGGTGGCGGGGCACTTTGAACTAAAGCTCATTAATGAGCATTAGTTTAAAGTGCCCCACCACCATTTTTCAGCGGGAGGATGCTGATACATGGGACACTGGAGGCTGCTGGAGCATGGAATTCCCATGCTCCAACAGACTTGATTAATTAGAGCGTGTCAGAGCAGCCTCCCTGCATGTGTATAGGAGCCCTAAGATACCAATTGGCCCTGCCTTCTGCTGGACTTCAAACTAAGCCAGCTAACCCACCTATATTTTTGGAAACTTATTTCATAGACAGTTTCAAAATTTCCATTCTTATTTGGAATAAATCAAACTTCAAACTCTTCCTAAAATGGAATTTCCACCCTACACAGTTTCTGTCCCTAACATAGTTTATTTGGAAACCTGTCTTGGAAGAGACTCATCCATTGGTCCAATTCTGTATTTGCATCCAAATTCAACATCATCTGACTACAGTACTTATATACTAACATGGCTATAAATATGTTCTACCTATAAATACTATAATTGTGAATTACTGAGGAAGTACTAATAATTTAGGGTTTTTTTTTATTAAACAGAATAAATAGCTGTGTGCTTTCTAGTTTAGGGAACCTGAAATATCAGGTATAATTCTGCAGATTGTAGGTTTATCAAGGAGAGGACTTCTTGATAGTTTTGTTCTGTATGCTACTAAGAATACTGTTGATGCTTACAAATAATAAATTATCTGTTTTTCTCTCTTTAAGCATTATTTCTCTTTTATTTCTTGTACAGATGGTGGCAAAACTCTGACATTCTTTAACTATGACTATAAAGGGGATTTTCAAACTGTTACTTTTGAAGGACCAGAAATAAGGAAAATATTTTATGGAAGTTTCCATAAGGTTAGTAAGGTTAATTGGCATACAAAACCTATGCACACAGAATTTTTGTTTTTTCATTTATTTTTTCTTCTTCATATTTTAAGGTTTTCTTATTGACTAAGAATTAACTAAATGAGTGTGTTTTACATATCACAAGTTATCTATCAAACTCAGTTAAGCAAACAGGGTGCATCTACATTTGAGTTTTACTGTGGAGTTGACTAGAAAAGGGCAGGAAGCCCTGGCATCTTGAAGGATGGGGTGAAAGGGAAAGAGGAGGAGAATTACGTGTCAGAGTGTGGTATCCCCTGCCATGCCTCTGATTGGCTGAGGGGCCCCGGAAGTCCTTCCCCCATGGAGATTGACAAATGGCCATCTATCAATCACCAGGGAGGGGCAAGACTTCTGGGGGTCCACAGCCAATTGGAGGCATAGGGGGGTCTGCTGCACTCCACTGTGAAAATGGTGACTGGTGCCACGCTTGGATCACAAAATCAGGAGGCAGCTGCTCCAAATTTGGTAGGTTCCTATTCATTGACTAGGTTTGTTGTGGGTCATTTTGTCAGCACTAGGAACAGCAGCTCACTTGAAAAATGCCCATTGTGTTGCCTCACTCATATTTACTTAGTCTTGTTACTGTGTACAAAAATTTCTCTCCTCTTTTTTTTGCCTAGTTGCATGTTGTTATTAGCAAGACAACAGCCAAAATAATTATTGACTGCAAGCTAGTGAGTGAGAAGACAATTAATGCATCAGGGAATATTACTTCTGATGGGGTAGAAGTTCTGGGGAGAATGGTCAGATCCAGAGGCCCAAGAGACAATTCTGCACCAGTAAGTAAAACAAAAGCCGTTCTTTAAACTATTTTAAGGTCCTCAACTTTGGGTGTTTGGTGGCTGTAGTCCATGTTTTTAACAGAAACAGGTGATCTCGTCTATGAAATATTAGTTGCATTCTTGCAGAATGTCCACCAAATTTTGCCTCAATTGGAGCAAAACCTTTTGGTTTTTGTAGCTTGCTTAATGGCCACCACAGCTAGATTTTCTCTCTCTGACTCCCACAAGTGCCCCACTCTTTTCCTTCCATCAAGAACTGAGTCCCCCTTATGCCAGGTGCTGTGAATGCGATATGATCTCTGTCCCAAATCCTTCGTTGCATAGGTTGACAAGATTTACAACCTATTGGTACAGAATCAAGGAAATCACTTTTTTTCTAGTCATAATCCTTTGTGGTCCCTAAACTTTTGCCTGCCCACATGCTTCCATCTCATTCCTTTTATCTTTTTGTATTGGTTTTACATGGAATCCCTAAAATCCCCTTCTCCAGCACAGGTGCGGGAAATTATTTCAAGTGGAGGGCCGCTTAACGAGTTTTGGTGACCTGTTGAGGGCTGTCTTGCTCCTTGATGGTTGTCCTGCCCCCTTGTCGCCATCTTAGGACCAGAAGTCTCACCCCTAAACCCTGACCTTTGCCACCAGAAGTCGTTCCCCTTGCCTTCCAGAAATACTCCTTTTGGGAGGAGGGGTTGCCATCTTAGAACCAGAAAAAACCAAATCGTACATAAGAACTCAAATACCTACTATAACTTATTTTAATTTTATTACAAAAAACATTTTTGTCATGATTTGTGCTACACTTGTATAATGTATATAGAGGTGATTGCATAATAATCCAAAAATAAATTCTTGGTCTTGTAGATTGTGGGGAGGGGGGGAAGTATGTTGAGGTGTGGGTGTGGTAGGTGGGTGTATGTGTGGCGTGGTGTGGTGTATGTCAGTGTTTCCCAACTAGTGTCCTACGGCACAAAGGTGTGCTGTCAGAAATGAATAGGTGTGCTGCAGAATTTTGCCATGGCAGTGAGCTACAATAGGTATGAGGATGGGGAATGCCTTAGCAGGTGTGCTGCGGGAAAATGTTATTGATGTAAATGTGCCTTGGGCTGGAAAAGGTTGGGAAACGCTGGTGTATGTGTATG